GAATTTGATATCAATGAATAAGGAATCAATCTATGTACATGATAAATCTCTCCACTTATTTAAATCTCCTTTACATTTTCTCAGGAATATTTTGTAGTTTTCAGTCTGGCTATCATATATCTTTCATGAAATTTATATCTAGGTATTTTGTTTTCTGTTTCATTTTTAAGTTATTTTTGCTAGTGTATAAAAATATAAATAATGTTTGTATATTGACCTTGTTTTCTTAGATCTTGCTAAATTTATATTCACTTATTAGGTCTAGGAGGTTTTTTTTGAATTCTTAAGTATTTTCTACATAAACAGTCCTGCTGTCTACTAGCAAATAGCATTTCACTCATTCCTTTCTGGTCTCTATGCCTTTGTTTCTTCTTCTTGTTTTATCATGGCTCAGACCTTCACCAGTATTGAATGTTGTTCCCTGTTTCCGGTTGAAACCACTCAATATCTACCACTAAGTGTCACGTTAGCTGTAAGGCTTTCACAGGTAACCTGTGTCGGAGTGAGAGAATGACCTTATATTCCTAGCAATTTCAGATCTTAGTGATACAAACTGCTATGGGTTCAGCACTCTAAACTGGAAGTTATTTTCTTTCGGCACTTTGGTGTTTTCATTCCATTGTGTGTAGGCTTCTAACTCATTATTCCCCTTGGTATATAATATGTCTCTTTTTTTTCCCCTCTGCTCTTAGGGGTTTCTCCTTAATTTTAAGCAGTTTTATTATATGTCTTGGTATGGTTTATTTTTTTACTTATTCTTTTTGGGATTTACAAACCTTCTAAAATCTGTGTATTTCATCAATTTTTGGAAATTGTTTATCATTATAGATTTAAATATTGATTCTGCCCCATCTGGTCTATTTTCTGGAACATATTAATCGTAGTAACTTTAAAATTCCTGCCAGCTAACCTCAAAATCTGGATTGTTCGTGTGGCCTTTTTTGTGACCTCATTTGTCCCTCTTGGTTTCCAACCATTTACTCTTGTTTCTTGGTTTGTTGTTTGGTTGTGGGGTTTTTTGGCATACCTAGTAATTTTGAATTGACTTCTAGGCATTGTGAACATAAAATTGTAGCAGCTCCAAATGATGTCATCCTTCTCTAGAGGGGGCTCACCCTTCCCTCCGCTGATGGCTGAGTCCCTCCCTCGGTCTGACTGCTGAGCTGAGGCTGAATCCTTCCTGGGAGGATCCAATCTCTTTCCCGCTCACCCCTGGCCTTCTAATATGTTCACTTCATCCTGTGGGGCCTCCCTCCCCTAGTGGGTAGTGAACTCTCTAGCTCACGAGACTTCTGAAAAACTCTGTTTTGTGTCAAGAACTATGAGATGGCTGAGATTTTACTCTGCTTGCAAGCTAAGAACTTAGCCTTTGATGGCTTCGTAGAAGAGCTGAGACTCCTGGGTCACAGGACACTGGTACATTGAAGGCACCTGCAGTACTTTGGGAGATCCACACCAGAAGTCTGCAGCGACGGTTCTAAAAAACAAAATGTTATCAGTGTACCTCCCTCCCCCATACATTTTGGGGTCTAGGATGTTCCCTCCCCACGTGCCAGGGTTGTTGCGCTCTCTCCACCATCACAAAATTGACCTACACCATCGCAGTACCTATAACTTACCCTTTTTTTTTTTCGGTCATCTCCTAATCACAACCAGACCTCTTACTCACGTCAGTCAGCCATAAGAGGTACAAAAGCATTTTCATAAAACTGAACCATAATTAATCTGCATTGATGATATGATTGAGCGCTTTTTCTTATGTAAGCTGTTAATGTAGTGAATCATATTAATTGACTGATTTGCAAATATTGAACCAGCCTTGCATGCCTGTATAAACCCCACTTGGATATAGTGTATACTTTTTTCTATATATCCCTGTGTTCTACTTGTTTATATATTTCGTTAAGAATTTCGTATCATATTCATGAGATGTATTTATCTGTACTTCTCTCTTTTTTGTACTTTCTTTGTCTGGTTTTGGGATCAGGTCTCTGGAGGAGATTGTATAGGGCTGGTTTTTTAGTGTATCTCTTTGTATAGCCTTTTTAGTAGTTGTTCTAGGTATTACATTGTACACACATCCTTTACCAAGGCCTACTGGTGCTGACATTTTACCACTTTTAGTGAAGCATGTAAACCCTGCCTGCATTTATGCTCCATTACCCTCCTCCATTTATAATTGTCTGAAATATTTCTTCCGCATACATTGAGATGTACAGACAGACAATGTTATAATTTTTGCTTTAACCGTCAGACATAATTTAGAAAACTCAAGAGGAGAAGGAAACTCTATTATACTTGTTCATATTTTTACTCTTTCCATGTTCTTCCTTCCTGATGTTCCAAGATTCCTACTTTTATCATTTCCTCTCTGTCTAGAGAACTTCCTTTAGCCATTATTTTAAGGTAGGTCTGCTAAAAACAAATTCTCTTAGGTTTTCTTCATCTGAGAATGTGTCAATTTCCCCCTTTATTTCTGGAGGGTATTTTTGTTGGACATAGGATTCTGAAATGACAGTTTGTTTCTTTTAGCACTTGAAAAATATTGTGCCACTTCCTTGAGACCTCTATGGTTTCCAATGAGAAATCCACTGGCATTACAATTGTTTTGGTGTTGTTTCTCTTTAGAAGCATTTGAGCTTTCTTTTTCTTTGTCTTTAATTTTCAGAAGTTGACTATGATGTGTTTTGGCGTGAATTGCCAGGGGTTTTTTCTGTTTAGAATTTCAGAATTTGTTCAACTTCTTGAAGCCATGTTTATAGGTGTTTTTGTTTGTTTATTTGCAAAACTTGGGAAATTTTCAGTGATATTTCTTTCAATAATTTTCTCAGCTCTACCCTGTTTCTCCTGTCCTGTGAGACTCTGGTGACATAAATGTTAGATCTTTTGTGACAGTCCCTCATGTCCCGGGTGAGTCTAATCATTTTAAGTCTGTTTTCTTTTCATTATTGAGATTAGGTGATTTCTATGTTCAACCTCTACATTCACAGACTCTTTCTTCTGTTGTCTCCATTATGCTGTTAAGCACATCCATTGACTTTTTTTTTTTAAGATTTTTTATTGGGGGAGGGGAACAGCGCTGGAGAATCGGGGGAAGGGTAACAGACAAGTTGCTGTTGTTTTGTTCTTTAGTCTAGTTGTGGAGGATGTTGCTTCACTGGCCCAAGTTGGCACCATCATTGTGCTCTTCCCGGGCGAGGCAGATCAGTCGCCGGCCTCTGGACGGCCGCTCACTGCGGCTGCTGGCTACACATGGTAGCTTATGGCAGCCCACTGCAGCAGAGGCTGCAGCCTATGCCGTCGCTGGCGACTCACGGCAGCCCAGCTCCAAGTTGAGCTGTTGTTCAGCATCTTAGCTGTAGAGGGCAGTGTCACTGGCCCTCATATGTGGGATCCGAACCAGGGCCCTCTGGCATCCCAAGCCAGTTCTTAACCAATGCGCCACTCAGCCTCCGTTGACTTTTTAAAATCAGTTATTGCATTTTCTTTAGTTCCAAAATTCTTATTTGGTTTTTCTTAGTATCTTCTAGTTTTGGAGTGAGACCTTAAATTTCTTTGTCAACCTTTCTGTTTTTTCTTTTGTTTCAAGCATGTTTGTAATTGCTTGTGACACATTTTTATGATATCTGCTTTAAAATCTCTGTCAGATAATTCTAACTTCTGTGTCATCCCATTGTTGGTGTTGGTTGATTGGTCTTCTCTCATTCTGTTTGAGATTTTCCCGGTTCTTGGTATAACTAATTTTCAATTGGAAATTGTACATATTGGGTATTAAGTTATGGGACTCTGTATCTTATTTAAATCTTGTGTTTAACAGACCTTCTCTGATGCCACTCTGTTAGGTGCAGGGGGCCGTGGACTCATGATTGCCAGATGAGGGTGGAAGTATAGGTTCTCTACCTGCCTCTGTTGACACGTGCTGTGGGATGGGCTTCTTGGTACAGCCAAGCAGGGGTGGGGGCCTCATTGCCATCAGATGGGTGTGAAAGGCCAGGCTCCCCATTGATAGGGGTGGAATCCTCAGCCCTGGCTCTGCCCTCAGCCTTCTCTGCCACCACCTGGCAGTGAGGGAACAGGGCAGGAGTGACTCGTTACAGCCTGGTAAGAATTGCAGTCTCAGCTCCCCACATGGCCTTGGATAGCGGGAGTGGTGGTAGGGTTCCCTTTTTTTCTATGGTGTTTGGCTGCAGTAGATAGAGCAGTTATTATCTAAGTGTTTGCTGTCTTGCTAAGCTGTGCCTTTCCTGGTATTCTGTCTAGAGAGAGCTTGATATTTTCTTGTCTGCCCTCATTGGTGTTTCCAGGTCGCCAGCTTCTCCAGTATCTAGTGTGGGATTTGTGCAGCACAAAGAACTCCAGGGAGCCTACCACCATGTTGTCACTCAGTTCCCAAGGCTCCTGGCCAGTCTGACTTCTCCACTGCTCAGTCTTCCTGTGTTGTTTTACGCATAATGACGAGGGTTTTTAGTTGTGCTTAGTGGAAAGAATAGGGCCAAGTACGTCTAGCCTGTCTTCCTGGAAGCAGAAGTCTTGAGATATGTTAATGAAACTTAACGTGACTATACCTAAGCAGCTATAATGGTTTTGATGTATGTATGAAATTAAATGTAAACCATACTTTCAAAGGTATGTATGCATCAATAAGGAAGAATGACTCAAGGAAAAAAATAGCTCTCGGGAGGGGGAACGCTGCTCAAGGAAATTACAAAAGAAGAAATTTATGTTTTGTGTAAAATATGTTCCCAGATTCAAGAGAGAAGGCTTTGGTCTTGAGTTTTTTAATCCTCTTGCTAATGATGGGAGGATTTGGCCATCCTCTTAGAGAAGAAAACCGTCTGTATTTTATTTGAGAAAAAGCAGCCATAATGCTCTACCTTCTCCCTGAGGCTCTCTAAAACCCTCTAGAAAATCCCCACAGATGTTCATGCTTCCTTAGCAGACACACGCACGATGGTCCCTGCCTGTTCCGGATTCTGTTCTAACGTGAGCGTCTATTCCAGGTCGCCTCAACTGGTGGTCCACTGTGTGCACGAGCTGTAAACGGCTTCTTCCTTTGGCCACGACGGGGGATGGGAACTGTCTTTTACATGCTGCCTCACTGGGTAAGCTCTGCAGTGTAGCCAGAGGATGGCAGCGCCACAGGCCTGCTCTGTGTGTTGTTAAAGGACAGGCACATGCTAAGTAGAGCCACACGCATCACTTTCATCTGAAAGAGTCCCCAACAAGAGTCCCCAGCCCTTCCTGTCAAGTACCTGGCAGGCTGGGGGTGAGGGTGGAGGGGAGACATAGAACACACACAAGAAAAGACCTGTCATGATAGAAGGAGGCCTGAGTGGAGCGACAGGGATGGGGATTAGAGCTCATAATCTAGAGCAATCAAGGGGGACTTCGTGGAGGAGGTGAGATTTTACTGAGTCTTGAAAAACTTGAAAGAGTATACAAGCGGACATTCCAGGCAGGGAGACCACATTGATAAAGCATAAAGGCAAGAATTAACAGGGAGTTTGGAGTCGGGGCTGAGGGAGTTTGGAGGTTGGGCTGGAGCAGGAAGCTTGGGGAGCAGTGCATGAGGTGGCTAGGTATGGGGCAACCATACTGACTGCAGTTGACGCACTTGGACTGACAAAACAACAGATGTAGGTACTGCTGGGAACTCGGCACAGTCGGAGCACACGGCAGAGAGGTCAGAAACCTCCTTTAGCGGAAATGTGAGCTTCCTGGTCGCAAAAAGCCACACCAGCAGGTGGCACTGTCGGTAAGTGGGGGTCATGGTAGACTTTCTGGGAGTTCAGCTATCCATTGTACCCCAGCCTTACATACAAGGCTGAATCAGTGTCAACAGGCAGGACTGGGTTTGCACCAGGGACCCCAGCATCAGAGCCAGTTGTACCTCATCAGCCCTGAAGTTCAGGGAGGGTCTCCCTCCAGGGAGGGACCCTCAGCAGGAATAAGGTCCTTGTTGGTCAAACTCCCCTCCCCCGCTAATCATGGCCGATGCTGTGCCCCAGAGCAAGGGCAGGGCCCCAGACCACCCATCAGACCTGTAATGAGGCCTGTTTAGCAAGAGGTGGGCTGAGAGGACCCTAAAAAGGCTTACACATGGGCTCCGGAAGGGCCCTAGGAGCCCAGACAAGCAGGAGGCCGAGAACCAGGGGACACTCACATTCCACAGGCTTGGAGGGGTGACAAGGAAACAAAGGCACCCCCTACCAGCTCCTTTCCATTTCAAAGCTACCACGTTTCTGCTGTAATTATAAAAGGATCCCACACTCATTGTGGCAAAAGAATCAGATTCAACAATCCCACCACCCAGCGAGGGCCATTTTTGCATCTTGGTGTGTTGTCGTCCCATCTTTGGTCTGTGCTTCCAGTAAAATTATAATCTCACCATGTCCACAGTTTGGAATCTGACATTTTCCCCCTTAAAATGCTACTGTGAACTTTCCATGCTTTCATTCTTCAAAACCACGTTTTGAGCAGTTGTGTCACATTTTCTCATAACGTATTAACTATTCCCCAGATTATGGAACATATTTCTCTGTGTTCTGTATAAAACCTGGAGGAAGAATATAAAAGAAGAAATCCCTGTTACCCAGCAGCCTCCTTGCCAAGTGTCAGGTGTGCAGATGCCTTTGTCCTTCAGAAACACCTGCACAGCAGGGGGTGGGGGGGGGGCAGGGCCACCAGTCAGAAGGCAACATGCCACTCAGCCTCCTTTGATGGCTGGTGTTTCCCTGGGAGCACGGTGGGTCCCCTGTGGGGACCCCGCAGGGCTGGCCTTGCTCCAGCTGCCAAAGAGGCGGGGCCTTGGGCTCATGCCATGGTACTTTGTTTTCCTTTTGGGCTCAAATAGCTACACTGCACAGGAGCAGGACTGTGACTACGCAGCCATGTGACACTCACCAGCACTGCCCATTCAACCTGCTGACCAGGCCTGACATCAAGCTGGGGCTAGGTACACATAGAAATCAGTGGCAGTCATCCTTTGAAGCAGACATTTAGGGGACAAGGAGACCCTCTCTGCAGGATGCCCAAACGAGGAGCTTAGACAAGACTGGGGGGACTCGCCCTGCCTGGGAGAGTCCTGGGAGGTGGCTGCAGGCAGGTCTGAGGGCAGAGTCAGAGCAGCCGAGCCTGTTTATAAAGGACCCTTGGTGGCCATTCCCTCCCTCTGTACAAAAGCCTCACCTGATGGAAAACCCCCAGCAGCCCCTGGTCATTGCACTAAAGGACACACGGCCAGGTTGAGTCTTTCAAAATATCCGTCATTCATTCCTCTTTTGAAAGCTCTCCAGGGGCTCCACTCATATGAAAGCTCACCTTTCACTCTCTACCTCCTCCCCTCAGTCCCAGCTCCAACCACCTTTTCCTCTTGCTGTTTCTCAAATACGCCACATGGTCCCCCTCAGCGGTCCCTGGCCTTCCTCTCCACCTGGGATGGCGACCCACCTCCCTCCTTCACCCACTCGAGTCTGCTCAGTGTCTCCATTCACGCCATGACCAGTACCATCCACACACTATCCTCTTCCCTGACTTCAGCGCTCCTCCCACTTAGCGCTCGCCTGACAGCTGCCCCACCTCCCTGAAGGGTGTGCTCTGTGAGGTTTTAGGGGCATAGTCTGTCCTGCTTACTGCTGTGGGGAGTCCCAGCACCTAGAATGGTGCCTCACTCCTAATTATAAAATAAATGTGGAATTAATTAGGTAGAATTGATGGGATTCAATTGAATGAATGAATGAATGAATGAATGAATGAATGAATGAATGAATGCGTTCCTCTGCTCTTTCCCATAGTCAGGGCCACACTTCCGGTGGTTGGGAGTCTGACCACATCTGAGCTGCCCTGAGCCGACTAGTTTGTCCTCATCACCCCTCACACCCAGCACAGGCCGGTGACAGGTGGGGGACGTCCTCCCCCTTGGAGGCAGGCTCTGTCCTGGGCCCAGATATGTGCAGTGGTGTCCACTCTGCTTCTCAGAAGGTTGTGATGCCTCAGGGTTACAAGCCAGCCCTAGATGAAGCCAGAGGCCCTGTGTGAGGACATGTCACCAACTTGTCCCCATAGGCTACCTCTCACTCAAACGTAAGACCTGGGTGGTGAACAGCAGGCCCCACAAAGCAAACCTAAGAGGTGAGAGTGACTTGCCAAAGGTCCCACAGAGGCAGCATGTGACATCACTCACTGTCGTTTTGCTGAGAAGGGAGCGTGCGCCTTCATTCACTTACATGCGTAGACAGGAGACCTTGGAGGAGGGAACCGAGGGGACGGCTAGCTGACGTGAGCACGGACAGTGGCTAACGAGCTCCCACTGTGCATGCAGACACGGGAGGCCCGCCTAGTAAACTGTGGTGGCTTTGTCACCTCGTGGCCCGCCCCCACCTCATGCCCTGTGTCCTCTCCTCCCTATGGGTCTCCCGGCTGCAGGAATGTGGGGTTTTCATGACCGAGACCTGGTGCTGCGGAAAGCGCTCTACACCATGATGAGGACAGGGGCTGAGAGAGAAGCCCTGAAGCGGCGGTGGCGGTGGCAGCAGACACAGCAGAACAAGGAGGTTGGTGCCTGCTGGTGTCTCCAGAACCTGGGACCCGCACCAGGCACGGCCGTGGGCCATGCTGGAGTCCAGAGCTGGGCCCCTGGGACAGTGATAGATGGCCACGGCCACTGCCTGCCCTGGCGTAATTATGAAAACCAGCCGCCTTCACTCTCAGAAGTGTCCGGCTTAGATGATGATTCTATGGTCACCTGTGTCAGGTCATTGCTGGTGACAGCTGGAAAACCAGGTGCAGCCACAGTGTGACCTGACCTTGCCCCCGGGCCAGCCCCTGTGTGCTCAGTCCAAAGACACTTGCAGTCGTCCTGCCCACGTGAACATTAGGACTTTGCTTCCTGGAAGAACCTGCCTGCCTTCTGACGGAAGTGGCCCGTTATCCCTTTAAACTTCTCAGTGGTCAGCCCCAGGCCTGGAGGAGGTTAATGTTCGTTATTCTCGCCCCCCGGCAATGACCCGTGTTACTGGGTGGACCCCCAACAGCACTGAAGTTAGAGTTCAGGGGTTCCGAAAAAATATTGTCCACAGCAAATGGGCACATCAGTGACCACGAACAGGTGCGCTCGGCCTGGGTCCCGGTTGGGCTTGGACCACACGGGGAGGTCCAGCGTGGCTGCCCAGGCTGACCTGGGGGGGGAGGGGGAGGAGGCCCGCCTGCCACCTCCTGAAGCCACTTCCCTTTGTGCCAGTCAGGGCTGCTGTACACCGAGGAAGAGTGGGAGCGAGAATGGACGGAGCTGCTGAAGTTGGCGTCCAGCGAGCCGCGAACGCACTTCAGCAAGAACAGCGGCTCGGGCGGGGGGTGAGTGCTGCCCCACCACCCTCCCTGCTCTCCCCGTGATCACCTTGAGCTCCCAGCCACCCAGGGACAGCCCAGGAAGTGGAGCCAACCTGAGATGGGGAGTCACAAGACCTGTTGCCTCCAGGCATTAGATTCTACACAAGGACGCAGGGAAAAGTTATGGGTAACAGCCGGACCCTCCTAGATACTCGGGGGCATGTACCCAGCCCCACAGGTATCTCGCAGACAGAGGCACAGAGCTCACACTTGCTGTCCCCGCATTCCTTGGAGCTCATCACACCACACAGCTGGGGGAGGGGCGGGTGCTCGTGGCAGAGCCAGCCTTTAGCGGTTTCACCTAGCTGTGGTCCTTCCCACATACTGCCCTTGGACTCAGCGGCTCTGAAACCTCGGGCTGCCAGGTTTGAGGTGTTTCCCAACTGAATATCTAATCGCTAGCTTCAAGAAGTCACACCAAAAGCCAAACATCATTACTCAAGCCTGGCATCTCCCAGATGTGGATGCGGTGGGGCCCCTTCTGTTCGAACACCAGAGTGTCCCATCATGGCGCGAAGGCGGGACTGCACAGCCAGGGCTGAGAGGGCCACCGTCACCTCGTCCTTTCTTCTCTTCAGCATTAATCTCTGACTCATTAGAGCTCACTTCTTTCCAACGCTGACCTCTCTGTCCTTTAGGGAAGGAACAGCACCCCACAGTTATGGTCAGGATATTTTTCTCTCGAATATCCCTGTTCTCTCCTCTCTGGATCGCTTTTTATCTTGTTCAGCCATCCACTTGCTGTGAGGGACTACTGAGTGACAGGAATAAGCAATCAACTTCTGGGAGCACTTGACCCTCTCAGCAGAGGCTGGACAGCATGGTCACCTGGGAGGTTTCAAAATGCAGGAGCATTGAGTTGATATTTGGCAGATGTATATACAGAAGGTGCCAAAAAATGTATACACATTTTAAGGACAGAAGAAAACTATTAAACTTGTAATATTCAATATATACCAATAATAAAAAATGAATATAAGTCACATTTGACTTCTGCAATTACAAGAGGTGCTCAAAGTGATTCCATCAGCGTCCAGACACTTCTGATGACGGCGAACCACTGCTTGAGCAACGCTGACCAAAGTGTCCACTTGTGTACATTTTTTTGGCTACACCAGTATATTAAAACACTCCTCCACTGCCCTGCCCTTCCTGTAAAATTCATCCCTAAAGCCATAAGGCGTGGCAAAGCAAGGTGGGCATCTACAGTGGGAAGATGGGGGGTTTGCAGACACAGAGGGCTGTAGCCAGGGCATCAGAGCCAGGTAGGGTGAGGGGACAACTCAGGGGAGGGGTGGCTGTAGAGGCAGGCGATTGCTTACATCCCAGGAGACTGAGCAAGTAAGGAAATCATTTTAAATGAATACAAGCCAGGTTTCTCACTGTCAGAGAAGGGAGTTCCAAGTAGAATGAACTTTGGGGTATTAGATTGGAATTTGAGGTATCCATGGACTCAGAGTTTCCAATAGATAGATTGATAGATAAATGAGAGAGAACGAGAGGTGATAGGTGATAGATAGATGAATGGTAGATAGAGGAATGGTAGACAGATAGATAGACAGACAGATGAAGATACCTATGTACATGTGTGAGTGCACACATGCATCCCCTAGCTGTCTTTACTGAGTGAGTCTAGGAGCAACAATGTCCTGATAGCGATAATCATATTTTGTCTTCTAAACACCATTATCCACTATTAAAAAACAAACAAACAAAAAAAAAACTGAGCTCCTTGAAGAAATGGCCGAATCCTGGGCTGAGGCCGAAAGGTACCAGATGAACCTGGACCATCTTCTTGTGCTGAAAAGCAAAAAAAAAAAAGAAAGAAAGAAAAGAAAGAGAAGTGCCCTAAAAAATGATGGGGGCTGTCACAGAACACAGATCCAGCTTGAACGAGCCCCACTGGCCAAATTGGGGCATGTCTGAGCATCAAAATAATCACACTCATGGAATAACCCACTGGCTAAAGTCGGAACCAGGACTCCATAGGGATATCAATAAATGTGTCAGGTTTGGTGAGGAGCGAAACGTGTGTAGGTGCAGGGTTCCTCCCCACAAAATGCTTATTCGTCATGGAGGGGAATAAGTAACTCTGTGGATTGAAGCCTAGGGATGGCCTTGGCAGAGCAACGCAAGTCAACATCACCTGCAGGCCCAGGCCTCCCAACAGGGAGAAGGACACAGCGTAACCCGAGCAAAAGGGTCAAGGTCATGAAAGTCAAGGAAACCCTGAAGAACGTTCCCGGCCGAAGGAGTCTCAAGAGACACCTCAGTGAAAGGCAGCATGCTGCCTGAGCCATGCAACCTAGAAATAAAGGCCTTTCAAGGTCAGGGGCAACAAGCCTTTATTTGAGATCAGCAAGGGCAGCTATTGGAACACACTGATTCAGGCCGAAGCCCAAATGGTGTTCTGATTAGGTGACCAAGGCGATGGGTATTTATGAGAAAGGGGAGGGAGACAATTACATCATGGAAGGAAGGTATTTCTATTAGTGCAGATAAGCTAACAGTGCGATGCTAACTGTAAACAACGTTTTTCGTTTTCAGCCTGGTAGCTATCTGTCCGGTAGTCATAACATATGCTTTCTTGTTATATTTGCAAACAGTTGTTTGAGACACAGTCTTGCTTTAGGCCCAGTGCAGAGGTTATTTTGCTCTGTTTTAGCATTCCAAAGGTTTGAGACATCAGATGTTTGAGGTAGTTCCTCTGGGATGGCATCTCTGACTCCATTTTAAAGTGGTTTCATTTATATTATTTTTTACAGCTGGAACCTATGTTTAAAAGGTGCTACTGGGAAAATTGGCAGACAATGGCTGGGGACTGTCATGGCAGTTAGATATATTAGTGTGTTAGTGTTGGACGTATTCCTGATTTTGATGGCTGTGTTGGGGGAATATAGGAGAATGTCCCATTCACAGGACATACACACTAAACTCTACCAGGGCGTGGGATTTCAAGTTGGCTATTTACTTTGAAATGGTTCAGAAAAAAAAAAAAGTTATTTATACTATATGTGCAACTTTTTGTGAGCTTTTGGTGGCTGCCAATTTTTTTAAGTATTAAAATAAGGTATATTGAGTCACCAAAAAAAATTAATAAACAAAGTAACAAGACAAAAATAAATAGGTACAATCACAACAGAAAAACTCCCGAGGTGATTGGGATTCAAGGCCTTGGTTAAACTCAAGCCCTTAGCAGTGGGCTGTGTGTGCGGAGCTGTGTCCCCACATCATCCCACCCCACATGGCTGCCCTGTCCCATCTGAGTGCCCAGGAACAAGCCCACATGCCACGCAGCTGGCACTGCAGAGGCCCTATCACGATGTCACACTGGCTCTTGCCTCTCGATGTTTCCATCCCTTTGGGGTGGCCGGTTCTAGGGGGCCATCAGGCTACCACCCTCTGCCCAAATGTCTCAGTCCAGAATGAAAGCGGTCCTTGCAGCCCGCTCTCTGCCTGAGGCCGGGACAGGAGCCGGGGGCGGGCTGGGGAGGGTCCCAGGAGCCCGGGCTGGGCATTCAATCTGAGGACTGATATCCAGGCAGGCTCCTCACCGCCGTCCCCCGCCCCATCATGGTATCTCCTAGCAAACCCCTTGGATCTTGGTAGCAATGGGCCCCACCAGCCCATCACACGTGCCCAGGCACACCTGCACCCTGATGGGCATGGCTTCAGCCCGAGTGCTAGAACCGGAGTGAAGCCTTCCTCCCTCCCACTCCTGCTCTGTCCTTGTCAATCACCCCCAGAGAACTGCCCCCGCACCACTATACCTCCCCCCCGCCATGTTGTCACACACTCTGTTTGGGTTGCCTCAGCCACCAGGAAGACCTAACCGTAAAGGTAGCTTGCAGCCATCACAGGCAGGTTCTCTCCCACGAGTATCCTGAGACCACCCAACCCTGGGTAGGGATGGGGGCTGGGACTTGTGTGCTTGCCATCATCAGAGGGCATGGGAGTAAGGTGGCCTCAGATGACCGTGATGTCCAGGGTCCATGGAGGTAAACGCGGAGGGGAGGCACCCTGTCTTCAGCATCCCCATCCTCATCAGGCCAGTGACAGGCTCCCCGTTGTCTCCCAGCGTGGACAACGCCGAGGACCCCGTGTACGAGAGCCTGGAAGAGTTCCACGTTTTCGTCTTGGCCCATATATTAAGGAGGCCGATCGTTGTCGTAGCAGATACGATGCTGAGGGACTCAGGTGGAGAAGGTAAGTTCACCCATAATAAAACAGATGCGTTTCATTCGTGACCCAGAAAGCTAACACCCCAGCTAAGGGACGGGCAGCCACGTAAGAGCAGAGCCCCCAGAGGCCACAGAGCTCCCCTCTGCATGGACAGAGGTCATGTTATTTCTCCTCGTTTCTCCTTACCTCACATGAGTCTTTCTCCTCCCCGGTGGCAGGAGGATTGCTCTCAGCCATTTCGTTACCCTGTGTGTCGCTGGCAGGCGGCCTTGGGAAATCTGGCCGAGGGAGGGCAGGGACTAAACCCCGGGGCCTCCCAGCCCCCATGCAGGGGCCCAGAGCAGTGGACAGCCTACACCCCTGCAGCAGTGCCCGTCTCGGCCCAGGGCCACTCAGCCAGTACCGTCCCCTCCCACCCCTCTGCGACTACACCCATGTTGAAGAGAAGAAAAGAAGGCAGAAAGCATGGCGTCACTGGGCGAGCTTGGGGTGGAAGCAGGACTGCGAGAAGGAGGAAAGGACAAGAAGGACTGCCTGTCACCTGTCACCTACTGTCTCAGAGCCCAGCACTTGCTCCCACAGCCCCTTTGCACATGCCTCTCCCTCAGCCCTCACCACAGCCTCCCAGGGGGGACACCAGCCTCCCCGCTTTACAGAGGAAGAAACAAGTCCAGGCAGGTTACGCAGCATGCGCAGCCCCTCAGCTCGGCCTTGGGAGAACTGGGGCCCACCTGACCCTGGGGACTGAGGGTGCCGTCTGCGTCCCCACTGGCTCCACACGCCCTCACCCTCATTTGTGTTCGCAGCATTCGCCCCAATCCCGTTCGGAGGGATTTACCTGCCCTTGGAGGTGCCTCCCAACAGGTGCCACTGCTCGCCTCTGGTTCTCGCCTACGATCAAGCGCATTTCTCTGCCCTGGTGTCCATGGAGCAGAGAGATCAGCAAAGAGAACAAGGTAAGCCCTCCGCCTGAGAGAGTGCTGGGGGCAGGGTGGGCACAGGCGGGGCAGGAGGCCACGTGGCACCTCCTTGCAAGCATGCCCAGCATGATGGGTTTTGCATAAAACTACCACATATGTGCATCAATGTCGTCATTGAAAATAACGTCAAAGACAGCTTTTAATTTAAAGTACAAAGCAAATTAATAATTCCACCAGCCTTAGATATCCTTTAGTGTTGTTCCCTGCCACGTGCATGCATATTTTATGTGGATGCAATTAATCTTAGATGCAAATTCTAAAAAGCAAAGCATTTCTAGTGCAGGGGTCAGCAAACTATGGCCCACCACCTTATTGGAACACAGCCACACCCATTCACTAACAATGGTCCATGGCTACTGCTTTTGCAAAGTAGCAGCAGAGTGGAGAAGTAGCCCCAGAGACTGGCAGGCCTGCAAAGACTAAAATATTTACTAACTAGAACTTTATGGAAAAGTTTGCCAACATCTGCTCTAGAGTAAGCATTTGAATCAAAAGATTGATATTTTCATTCAAATCCTTACAAGTCAGTTTCCTGCCAGTAGCCCTTTGAATGCTGCAGACAGGCTCCCCAGGCTGGTCCCACAGGCTGCGCACTGCACAAGTGCAACCACCAGGCAGAGACTCAAGGGGGCCTGTCTTCAGTCAGCATCTTTCGTGTCTGCTGCAGAAATAGCACGATCTGTCTGGAACAGTCGCTGTGTGCTCGTTTTAACCGCTGATAGGTGTGTGACTAGCTGAGAAAGGAGGGAAACTCCTTTCTTGGCCACTCCTGTTTCTGGTTGAGATAGAGTCCCCCAGGAGACTAAAGGTCAGACAGGACTGATTGGTTTTGGGGCCCTTGCCATTGGGGGTGTTCCAGGAAACCATGGTGACTTGTCACTTGGGGATGTGGCCCCAGAGGAAGAGAAGAGCAGGGCTGCAGCCAGCTGTAATGGGTCTGTCACATCATTTTTCTGTATTATTTACAGACATCTCACTTTGGCCAAAGGAGAAAAGTATTCAGTCATTCAGGCCTGGGAGGCATTTTGCCTTTTTTGTTGTCGCTCAGCTTTCTGGCTGTGGGTTTCAGCTCCTGTCGATTCTTACCGTGGCTCCTGGGAGGATAGAGGGGCTTCCTTGGGACCTGGATCCAGGCCAGGAGCTGGGCCTCTCTGTCCGGTCTCCCAACTCTGTGGTCAAGGAAAGACACCAGTCCCAGGCCTGGCTTCTCTGGTGGGGAGCAGGGGGCAGACGCCCGGCCCCCGCCTCACAGAGGGCGCTAAGCTCTCCTTCAGGCTCCTTGATGTTTCTAAGGTGAATACAAAGCTGCCCTTTGATAAAGGACAGATGTGGAGGGGCTCTCGCTCAGCCCCTCTCGGGAGCGGAGCGGAGGTGTGGGTGGTTTTACCTCTGAACCCTTCTTTCCCCAAAGTGGGTTCTGGTCCCAGTGTGCCATTCTGAGTGGCTGTGGTGTGGGCCCCTGCTGCTTCTGCCTGCTGGGTTACCCCCTCGGAGTGGTGTGAGTCCCTGCGTCCACGCCATTGTGTGATCGGGGCTGCACTTTGACCCATCCGGTCCTCACAACCCACTTCAGGACAGGGGCTACGGTGCCACCTTCTGCACAAACAGAAGCAAAGCACATGTAAGTGGCTCCCACGAGCTGGGGGACTTCGGTGAAGATGTCACGTCCTCACACATTTGAATAGGACACAAATGCTCTGCAGACATTACGGCTTGAAGTATTGCTGCCAGCACGTCCCCTGTGCCACCTCACCAAGCTGGTGGGTGCAGGTTGGCACAAGTCCTGCCCCCTGGCCTGAAGTCCAATGGGCCTGTCATGTTCATTGCAGGGGGCGGTGGTCAGTTCAGTGAATGTGTGTTAGGGTCTCTGCCTTGGGGCCCTCGCCACCTTGTGGGGGAGACAGGCAACCCTACCAAGACACACCTGGTACAAGGCAGAGTGTGCCCCAAGCAGGCACGAGCTCCATTCAGAAGGGGAGCAATGGTTCCAGTTCAGAAGAACAGACAGACAAACAGACGTGAGAGAAGCAGGTTAGAACTAGACTTGGAGGCTGCAGTCATGTCCCGAGGCTGGTGCCAAGGGCCAGAATGGGCCCGGTCAAAGTGCAGGGCTGCCAGGGAGCGTTGCTGGCGTGGCTGAGCAAGCGCGTGTGGTAGGAGTGTGACAGTGGGCACGGGGAGGCCCAGGCACGGACACTTCCTGACTGCCTGGGCCAAGGGGCGCCGTGTGACCTCCCGGCCTGTCCCCTTGGCTGTCGGCCCTTTCTCCTTCCCCTCCTATCCGCTCCCCTCCCTTCTGTTCCCATCCTTCCTTTCTGCCACTCACCACATTTGGCCACTTTTCATTTGACATGTTCAAGGGTCTCACCTCTTCATTATGAAATGACCATCATGGGACAGTCCCTCCACGCACTGAAGTCCTCAGTGTCCTCAGTGGGAACTGCTAGGAAACAGTATATTGCCTGTCCCTAAGCCAGGCCTGTCCCCTGTCCTTAACTATTGCTTCAAAGATAGACCTACAGCCCTTGACTAGCTCCCTTCCTGGCCACCATTAGACCCAGCGTCTCCCCGGAAGGACCTACTGTAGGCAGCACAGAGCACATGCTGTACAGGAGCCACGGGCAGAGGAAGCCGGCCAGGGCTCCCGGCGGCGTCTTCCTTCCAGCCCCACAGCAGCGCCTGCAGGGGCCTTTCTGCAAATACCAGATCGTATAATAGCAGCCAGCTGTTGTTGCCCGGAGGCGGGGGTCCAAGGGAGAAGCTGAGAGCATGTCAGAAGGCCACCCCGGGAACAGACTCATCCTCTCTTTTCAGCCTTTACGATGCCAAGAAAAAGGGAAGCGTCCACAGAAAGCCATGATATAAGCCCCCAAAGGAAGATGGCACCGAACAGCACTGGGCTGCCAGGGGCTCCAATGAGAAAGGGGCTGCCGCTGCTTTCTCTAACAGGGAGTCCTGAGGCAGGTGATCTTCTCGGAGGTCCAGGCTCCCAGCCGCTCCCTGCCGCCCCCTTCTCATCATATGGTTTCAGCCTCATGGTCACAGGAGCCTCCTGATGATAGGACGGGGGCTGCAGCTCCAGGCGTCACATCCAGATGGCATCGTCCTGAAAGTCTGTCTTTTCATTTGGGAAGAAAACCTTCCCCGAGTACTTGTGCAGGCATCTTACGACCACAGCTCAGCCCCACACTCGCTCACAGCCTGAGAAGTGAGTGCAGTGGGGGTTCAGGGAGCCAGCTCCAAACCAGGGTGGGCTGTGATGTTTCCAGGCAGCTCCATCCGGACTGTTTCTCTCTCTCACCTGCAATGACCAGGACCTCATCTGGGAAAAGGCAAGTGTGCAGAAATGAGTTCTTTATCAGCTGGGTGCTCATTAGGAAACGCACTACTGTCAGCTGTTGGGCTCTCAGTCCCCTAAAAAGCCGGGTGTGCGAGGCCGTCAGTGCCGTGTTCCTTAGAAGGAGCATGTTCCACGTGCAGATGCACAGGCTCGCCCCCAGTGCCACTCGCCACCTTCTGATCTCAGGGTTTGGGGGCTGCTGCAGGTCAAGGGTGCCCACACGCCCTGTGGGCCTGGCAGTGGCCGGCGCCCACACAGGACGGGGAGAGGGTGTGGGGGGTCCTGTGGAAGCGGACCCAGCACCTGGTGGCTGACTTGATGGCACGTCCTGGTGTCTCCCACATGTAAGTGCCACCTGGTAAAATTTCACAGGCATCGGTTTTCTGCCTAGAGCCCTGGGCCCGTGCCAGGACCCTCCAGACAGGGCATAGCTCTGGGCCCTCTGAGCTGAGACCTTGGCTTGTCTCCTTCCTTAAAGAAAGTCTCTGTATCTCTGTGCCTTCAGGCTGGCTCTGCCCCCAGGGAGCCGCCTGGGCCTTTGCTGAAACAGAGTCGAGGTCAGCACCCCTGGCAGCCTCCTTGCCTGCGATGACAGCTTCCGAGTGAGAGGAAAGGTATTGGGAAGGGGGAAGCCATCTTCCTCGATTCCTGGCCCCTCCCGGCCACACCTATCTCTCCACTCCTAGGGCTCCCTGGCACCAGCTGGAGCCCCTTCAGGTCAGGTAACCGAACCCAGCTCCACAGGGCTTAGACAGGGAGAGCGTGGTTCTCTCGCCCACCCAGCCATCTGAAAGCACGCAGCCCCCCCCCCAACCCACCCCTGGGGCAAGGTGGGCACTTCAGGAATGCTGGACATGACCAGGCCCCTCTGTCCCACCTTGCAGCCTCCTCACCCTCTGTGCAGGGCAGGCTCTGCCACCTTTCCGGGCGTGAAGCAGGTCCTGTTTGTCCCCAAACTCCCTTGTCTGAGAGTGTGGCTGGATCTGGGGCAGGAAGTGTTCACAGAGATGACAGAGCGTGTTGTTCTCAGAGAAAATGAGACATCGTCACCAGGGCACTGGGTTCCTTCATTGTCCCTCCCAGAGCCCCAGAGTGCAGCCCCCGAAGAGGGGGCCTGTGTGCAGAGGCCCCTCGCTGAGGGGTGAGAGAAGAGCTGGTGTGGGGGCACCAGACTTTTAGCTCCGACCCTGCAGCACAGGGCCTGGGGACAAGACGGGCTGTGGTCTTTCACATCATTGGCTCTTGACCCACAAACCTCCCAAAGGGCTACCAGGTGGCCTGGAGCTGCAGGCAGGGCTGCACGGCTGTGGAGCTCTGTTCTCGGCTTGTGCGTTTGTCCCCCGGACATGCACCTTTGGTCCGTGTGCCACCCTGAGGACCATCAATCTTTAGCCTGAAGCGCGCAGTTCCATGGGGTGCCAGCTGCGGTCACCTGCGTGGGAAGACCTGGCTGAGGGTCTTGCCCTAGTAATCCCAGGGCCTGGAGAGTGTGCCTCTGGCAGGCCCCCCATGAGCCCCACCCTGTCCTCTCCTGAGCTCCCCAGACATGCCTCCCCAAGATATCCATGCCACAGGAAGGGCGCCCCCAGGAGCACATGAGCCACCATCTCCCTACTCCTGAATGGTTCCTAGCCCCCATCTCTGGTTAATAACATATTAGTATCAAGTGTACAACTCTGAGATACATCATCTCTGTGCTCACCACCCAGTCTAGTCTCCTTCTGTCACCATGTACGTGACCCCCCTTTTCCCTCCTTACCCTATCCCTAACCCCCTTCCCCTCTGGTCACCACTATTCTGTTGTCTGTATCTATGAGTTTGTTCATTTATTCCCTGTTTTATGTCTCATATATGAGTGAAATCACATGGTTCTTGTCCTTTTCCATCTGACTCATTTCACTTAGCACACGATACTCTCAAGGTACATCCATGTCACCAATGGTAAGATTCCATCCTTTCTTACGGCCAAGTGGTAGTCCATTGTACATATGTACCAATTTAAGCTTTTGTTCCCTCGTGTAGATAGGAGATAAAGATCTGTGAAAGACACGTTCTCAGAATTCTTGCCAATCTTTTGTGAGCAGCCGGCCTGCAAGGGCATGTGAAATGCCTCTAACCTGCAGTCCCCAGGGGTTTTTGTGCTGTTACCAGTCTACAACAATTTTAGCCGAATTCTTCTTACTGGGTCCGGCTGACTCTGCCCCATTGAGCTCACTTCTGCCTCTCCTTGGAGGCACCTGTCCTTCCTTAGATTTGGGGCTAGCTGGTTGCCTGTGACTTGAGCTCTCTGATGGTTAAAGGAAAATGGTGAATGTGTAGTTTGACTTGTTGTTGTAATCCTCTCCCAGCATTTTACATACCAAACAGAAACCTGCAGTCTCTGTTCTTTTTTGGAAAAGAAGTACTCAAAAATATAGCCCGGCTAGTTTGAGATGGCACCTACACATTTCCAGGTTCAAAGAGAGGAGAAATCCTTTTCTAAGAAAAAGGTTGCAGGCTTATTTTGAAAGGCATTTTGCTGTTCTTGACATTTGCCACCAGAGGGCAAGCAGTCGCATCACTCCGCGCCCCACTGTGAAGGACAGGAATTCCCAGGAGCCCTGCGGTAGGGAGGTGAGGCCAAGAAGACCGTGCAGCTGATCTTCTCCAGGTGGGGAGGCGGAAACGCACTCCTGCCACCTGGCAGCCCCGCCGTCTTCAGCCAGCACCACAATGCGGGGCGGGAGGGAAGGCCTCATGCCTAACCCCTGTGCTTCTGCTCACGTCCCACGGGTGGAACCAGGCACCTGTTCCCCGCTAAGTGTGGCCGTGGCTGGGCAGATGCTTCCCGCTGACACCTCTCCCCTGGGAAGGGGGTGGACAGCCAGATGCAAATTGCCCAAAGTGCAGCCACAGAAACTGCCTCAGATTGTTCTAGAACAACACTTTCCAGATTTGCCTGCTTTTAAGAACCATGTTTATTTAAAAGAGTCCTTGGTTCCTTTTCCTGGACACTGGTTTGGCCATCTGAGTGGGGGCTGGAATCGGCGCCTTTACCAAGCTTTGTGGGGAGCTGAGCTGCCCTGGCAAGTGCTTAAGGAGGGGGCCTCTACCACCCGTACTCTCCTTGTTGGCATGGTGACTCGCGGAACCCTGGGGCAGGCTCCTGAGCATGGCCCAAGGGGAGGCCAGTCCTGAGCCAGCCCTGAAGCCCTCCCTGGGTGTGACTACCCTTCAACTCAGCTGTGGGAAGGGCTGCCTATGTGTCATGGCCACGTCAAGGCAGACCGGGCCGCCCCTGACCTCCCAGCCAGAGCACGGTTGCCCAGTCCCAGCCAGATTAAAAATGGAAAACCAGGAGCAAAACTGTGTTTCCCTTTCAAGGGAGACACAGGGGTGGGATTATGTGCGCTCACATTTTTCTCCTTAGCAACCCCAGAGGGCAGCATTGAGTCAAGTTTTCCACGTTCTTACAAGAAAATCAACCGGTAATGGTATTCGGTCTTAGATTTTGTTTGCCTTTTTGTTCTTGCCATGGCACCCTTGCCATGAATCATGCGGAAGAGACACCCAGATCATGGCCAGCACCTGGTGGGGGGGGGGGATAAGGAGTAGGAGGCCCAGGGCAGGAGTGGTGCCTGGGGACTCTGTGACCCCAAAGACGGGGCTCTTGGGGCCAAAGGAAAGCAGCCTGTGAGAAGCATCCTGTGCCTGGATCAGGGCCAGGCAACATCTGGACAGAGGCGCTCCGCGCCCCCCCCCCCACCAGTGTTCCACTAGGAGGGGTGGTGATGAATCAGTCCCTCCCCACAGTCTCCACCTCCATGTCACCTCCTCAAAAGGCTGCCCAGCACACACCCCCACACACAAAGGCTGGCCACCCTCCCACAACCTGCTGTTTACCCTGCAGGGAGCTTTCACTACCTGACATGATAAAGTGTTTGTTAACTGTGCATCCTGTCCCCAGCACAAAATGTGAGCTCCCTGTGGGCAATCCCCCACCATGGGTTCCCTGTACTGATAACAGACTTGAATGAAACCACAAATGAGATGAGCAGACAGCCCTCACTCGCCTGATTTGCACATTGGGAACCTCTCTGGGAGGCCCAGGCCACCTTGACCTTTGCGGTGACCTTGCACAACATGATGAGTCCACCTGGGCCCTTCCTCAGAAGTAACAGAAGGAGTAATGTGTCTGCTGACACACCCGAATTGCTCGCAGATTCCAGGTGATGTCTCCAAGTACACTTCAAAGTCCACAATAAAGACAAAATCTTTAAACTGTCAGCAGTGATTCTAAAACCTGTGATCTTAACGCTCCTGCTGGCACTGCTGTCCTGTAGACATCACCACTCGCTTTACGTAATCACGTAGACACCTCGTTGGTCTTGGAATCCCTGTTCCCCCCCCCCCAGGTGGCTGCCCGTGGGCCACCTGGCACCGCGTCTCTCTCTTCTGTTCCAGCCGTGATCCCCCTGACGGATTCGGAGCACAAGCTGCTGCCTCTGCACTTTGCAGTGGACCCCGGCAAGGATTGGGAGTGGGGGAAAGACGACAACGACAACGCCCGGCTAGCCCAGTAAGCCCCGCCCTGCGGCCCCGCCCCCAGCGCCCCCGCTCTTCCCCCGGCAGCTGGCGAGCCTGCGGGTGGGCCGGCGCGCGTTTCACTCGGTGTTCTTCTCTCGCCAGCCTGATCCTGTCGCTGGAAGCCAAGCTGAACCTCCTGCACAGCTACATGAATGTGACGTGGATCCGTATCCCTTCCGAGACCCGGGTGAGCCTGGCGTGCCCCGGGACCGACCCGGGTGGCCGGGCGGTAGCTGCTGGCGCCAGGCAGCCGTGTGCCTCTCCTAATTGTTGGGCCCCGGGGCGGAGCTCGCCTGCCTGCGCCCAGCAACCACCCCGCGTCCGGGGCCCCGCCCTCAGGTCCCAGCCGGGCACTTGGTCCCTGCCTGCCCCCCCCACACACCCCACAACCCCGCCACCACCACCCCCCCACACACACCCGGCTCTGCCTTGGAAGCAACCCGGGCTTCCGGGGTGCGTGTGTGCACGCGGGTGCGTGCGTGTCTTTATGTGGGCGGGCACCCTGCGAGGGGATTTTTCTCCTGTTTTCTTCCGGAGATAAATAAACACTCCCACTCAGAAAACAAACCGTGGGCAAGTCACAACACAAAACTATCAATATCTCTGCCGAGATCGGAACACGACGTGCTGGGCGCAGCGGAATTAACTTTGAACTGTGTGCAGGTGCCTGGGGCAGCCAAGCACCCCAGCGCGCTAGGACGCTCACCTGTCCCCTGCCGGAGGCGAGGAAAAGGCCTCTCCCACAGGCAGGGTCTGTGCTTCCAGGTGCTAAAATGGATTCACTTTTAAGTATCTGACAGATGTTTTTGTCAGCTTAGTAGTGAATCCCCAGGGTAAAGGATTTGTTAAAAAAAAAAAAAAAGTTTACGATCACTGGTCCTCCCCAGATATGGGTTTATTTAGTCATAAAGTGGGACTCCTGTTAAAGGCAGTCAGGGCGTGGGACATGCGGGCACTGATCAGAGCACTCTCAGCCTTCAGCCATTACCCTATTTCATCCCCACAGGGCTGCAGGAGGCAGGCACTGATACCCCATTTTTCTGATGGCACAAGTGACAGTCTGGCTCGCGAGTCCTGCTTCTTAACCTCCACGCTGCCTGCCTGTCAGATGCCTGCAGAGTGCCACTGTGTGGCTGTGGGTGTTCCTTCCTAGCAGCCATGAGGGCTGTCAAGGCAGCAGCTCTAGATCTTGGGCTGGGACACAGCTCTGTCCTGCAGTGAGTAGGGCCCCCTGCCAGGCTTTGGCTGTCCCCCATTAGAGGGGAGGTCCTTCCAGCCCTCAGGCACTTGAGCCAAGGCTCCTGGCTCACTGCACTCCCACCGCTGGGCCCCTCGCAACACCAAGCACACCTCCCTTCCCAGGCCAAACCCAAGCTTCTGCACTTCTGTGTCCCAGTTTAAGACCTCCAGCTCCTGCCAGACTCAGGGCCGGCAAGGGAGGAAGGAATTTCAGGACGGGAAGTTGATGAGGGCTGCTTCCACACCCCACTCCTTGCTTCTGGGTGACCTGGTTGCAGGAGGTTCACCCCTCTCTTGGACCTGTTCGGGGAGGGGGAGCAAAAATGAAGTGGGGAGCAACAGTCCTCCCAGGCTCCTGCCCTGGAGGCCAGGAAAGCCGGGTCACGCATGCGCACCAGTCCTGCCAGACCTCGGCTGCTGGGGTGAGTCTGCGCCCAGGGATGCTCTGTCAGAGCTCTCTGCTCACCCAGGAAGGGACCTCCAAAAGGCAGCAGTGGGCGCTGCCCATTCTCTGCACCCTCTCTTCTTAGGTTCTCCACCAACCCGAGTCACTGGTCCTGGCCACGTTCCCATACCGATTTGCCCTCCTTGGGTGGCTGACAGTGGGCCTGGTCCAAGGTCTTCAGAGAAGCCTCTCCCCACTCTCACCCCCAGCCCCGCCCCAGGAGCCCTTTCCTGGGAATGGTAGCATCTTTCCGGAGAAGCAAGCCCGCGTCCTGTTTCAGAGCCCTTCTCAGTGTCGCACTCCACACTGCCAAGCTCAGAAAGGACCCAAGTGACTGGTCATCGCTGAATGGCAGGGTGCTTGTTCCATGACCCAAAGAGTGAGGTTCTGAGGGCAAGGTGTCTGTCCCCTGCCTGGAATGAATAGATGAGACACCTTTGTAGGAGGGATGTCGACAGGTGCAAGTTAAGTGTCATCCTCACCTGAGGGCCTCTACGTGTACAAAGAAGCCGGCCTAGAACCTGGTCCCATGTCTGGGCAGGCAGCAGCCTCACCAGGGCTGGAAGGCCGGAGGCTAGGCAGGGTAGTCCTCTGATTTGTGCGGTGGCTCTGGGGCTCCAAGCCAGGTGGGTTTCTGCAGCTTGCCCGAACTCCCCGGCTCAGGGTTCCAGGCTACCAGCAACCTGAGTTCACCAGGAATTAGGGCAGTGGGATGCGAGGGCCCCAACCTAGCAGCACAGGGCGGGAGCGAGGTCTGTCTTGGCAGGTCCCACGTGGGGACAGCTCGTTTCTAACCTCGCTCGTGCCCCACAGGCCCCTCTGGCACAGCCGGAATCTCCCACGGCCTCCGTGGGAGAGGATGTGCAGTCCCTGGCCGACTCCCTGGACTCGGACCGCGACTCGGTGTGCAGCAACTCCAACAGCAATAACGGCAAAAACGGCAAGGACAAAGACAAGGAGAAGCAGCGCAAAGAGAAGGACAAGACCCGCGCGGACTCCGTGGCCAACAAGCTGGGCAGCTTCAGCAAGACGCTGGGCATCAAGCTGAAGAAGAACATGGGCGGCCTGGGCGGCCTGGTGCACGGCAAGATGGGCCGCGCCAACTCGGCCCACGGCAAGAACGGCGGCGACGCGCCCGAGCGCACCAAGGACAAGAAGGTCAAGTCGCGCAAGGGCAGCAAGGAGGAGTCGGGCGCGTCGGCGAGCACGTCGCCATCGGAGAAGACCACGCCGTCCCCCACGGACAAGGCGGCGGGCACGTCGCCGGCCGATAAGGGCGGCGGGCCGCGGGGCGACGCCTGGAAGTACAGCACGGACGTGAAGCTCAGCCTCAACATCCTGCGCGCCGCCATGCAGGGCGAGCGCAAGTTCATCTTCGCCGGCCTGCTGCTCACCAGCCACCGGCACCAGTTCCACGAGGAGATGGTCGGCTACTACCTGAGCAGCGCGCAGGAGCGCTTCAGCGCCGAGCAGGAGCAGCGGCGCCGCGACGCTGCCGCCGCCGCGGCCG